CACACACACGCGCACACACACACACACACACACACACACACACACACATATATACACACAGATAATCGACTTTAGTAACTTTACTTACTTACCTTTTACGGCCTCTACGTCTTTCGCGTGTTTGTTGTTTCTCCTGTTGGATGGTTATATTGCTTTTGCCTTCTGTTTCTCTGCCCCCCCTCTATCCATCATGTTCAGTGCCTGCCTCTTCCTCTATATCGATCTAATCTATGACTGTATGTTCTCACTTGACAGATATCCAGGCCATTTTATGCGTTGTTTATTTAAGTACCGCAAGAAGAAAGTCAAGCCAACTTGTTCTCTGACTATATCGTTTCTTACCTTGTCTTTTCTTGTGATGTTGAACATGTTTTCTTAGACGTCTCGTTTCACAAGCTTTTAATTTAATTAGGTGACTTGTTTAATTGTTCATGTTTGGACGTTGTAGTATAGTGTTGGTGTAATGATGCTCTTAATGATTTCGCGCTTTGTTTCCATTGTTGGATTTTGAAAATAATGGTGCTAGTTGATAAATCACAGCGTTGACCTTTTTAAATTCTGGCTACTGTTTCTCTGTCGATCTTTAGGTCTTTAGGGTGAATACGCTTCCTACTTCTATAACAACACATTATTACTTTCTCGACAGAGGTACTGTACACACCGACAAACTCCCGGGCCGTGTCCGATAGAGCTCTGGTAGAGGACGCCTTCCCTGACTTGTCCGACTCGAACTTTGACCCCACCAGCACCAGCAGACTCCCCGTGCAGGCGGTGGTCATTTTCCGGAGTAGACTTGACCTCGCCATCTTCACAGACGAGGTTCTCAACGAGTTATTGGTAAGATATATTCTTGTTTTGTGATTCTGATCTCAAGTTGAATTGGAGGCAGGACAAGTATCTGTGGTAGCTGTTAGTCGCTTAGCTGTTGCACGCAGAAGCCCTGAGGTCGAATCGTGTGTGAGCCTCTTTTGACTGAGTATGTTTGTCTTTCTGCTGGGACATTGCATCTATCCTTGCACGGGTTGTCCCTGACTGGCAGGGTCAAAGCCAACCTCCTAAATAATCTAAATCGTGTCAATGGGGGAGTAAACTCACCTACATTACTAGAATATTTTAGAAGCAAGTGTTTCGGCAGTTGCTCAGCTTTCTTGCTTAGTTTGCTGTTGTAAGTCCCTTTTAACACCGTATTATAAGGCCACAAGGTTATGTAATAGACGGGAACTCGGGTTCAAAAGCTAATCTCAAATGATAGAATCAAGCTACGAGTTAACTCCCAAAACAACGCTTGATCAAAAGTGCCCAACTTGGGAGTTGAACCAGGATCTTTTGCAGTTGAAGCTCGTGTGATTTCAACTGAACTTAATGCTGCAACATCTTTGCATAGGTATAGGACGGTAGTAATAACGAAAACGTTTCGTCTTTTTTTCTTTTCAGAAGATTTTTTAAATCACGCATATCTCTAAACTTGAAAAACTTTACGGAATCGTAAATATACAGAATATAGTGCCTATGGCGGTAGAAGGGACTTTTTTAAAAATATCCTCCATGTTTTAGGGCGCGTGTTAAATGTACTAGAAAATTAAGCCGAAGCATTACAACTTTTCAAAATCACAGTTGTCAATCTGTGCTATTAGTTGAATGTGCTTAGAAACTGTTTTGTCGAAATTAAAGGCGTAATTGTAAAAAAAAAAAGAATTAAAAAAAAAAAGAAGAGAATGAAACAATTGAACTAAATCTCTCTCCTGTAAAAGTTTGCTTCCTGGGCCTAGTACATTCTTTTTTTTTCTCTTTTTTTGTCCCTTGCCCATTTCTATGATATTGACGCCTTCTGATTAGTAGAAAGAAGTGCGTATGATAGTGTATTACGTACATAATTGTTATAACATATTATAACTGTTACTTAATATCGATATTCTAGATAATTATAGTTGTTTGTGAAGGATCTGAGAGTAGTGATGATTTTAGAAATGACGGTGGTGGTGGTGTTAAGTGATGATGTAGGATGGTGTTTATGTACAATATAATTATTAAGAAGACATGCTTCTGTTTGTTTGTTGTTGTTTTTAAAAATGATGTCAGCGTTAGTCCTATCTTCCTCTGCTCTGAGGAGACACGTGGTATTTGGGCATCCGCTATTCCGTTCCCTACTGGAATCATCTTTAATATCACCGTGAAGTTCCGAAATGGTGGGCACTGTCTCTGCTGAGGTGGCCTTGTTAGTGTTAGCCTATTCTAGCGGGCCAAGACAAGTGAAGATAGGACTTTAGTGGGTAGACAGTACTGTGGCAGATATTATGTTGGGGATTTCGTAAGGGGGTTATAGGCAGCAAGTTGGCAACCAGGTTATAGACTTAATACTTATTTAAACATGAAGTTGCGGAAATTCCGACACAGGATCGAGTCGAGAGGGAACAATTTACACACACTATTGTATCCCTTCGCCTCAGGGGGAGTGGTTTATTACATTCTAACAGCTTGCCAACAATGTAGTATGATAACTTTTTCTCGTGTGCATTTTTCTGCATTTCTTTTTCTTTTTGGAGCAGAGCTTCAATTCGTCCATATGGGATCTGGTCGTTTTTGAGGACGGTCAAAATTATACGTACAGTGACCTGTGTGCCGTGAGAGCAGGGAGATGTGCTGTTGGCGGAGAGATATTTCTCTCTCCAGATTTCAGGTAATACTTGTTTTCTTCGTTCGATAAAGTTTTGAGCTTTACACAGTCCATGACTCTAGACAGCATACCATAAAATGAGATGGAATTAGGTGAATCAAGCATTTCTTCAAGTCAGTACGATCATACTCGTACTTTGCCAGGGACAGATTAAGACAATAGAACTACACAAAACACACACACACACACACACACACACACACACACACACACACACACACACACAG